GGGAGCGAGTGCGTGTGGGCGAGGCCTGGCATGTCAGTGCTCGCGGGTATAAATCCCCCTCACCTATGTGTACCTTGTTGACACGTCGAGTTCGTGCTCGAGGGAAAGAAAAGGGCGTTCGTGCGCCGGAAAAATTCATGTGTCCACTGCCTCGTCTGATCTTCTTCTTCCACCTCCTTCCGTCGTCTGAGCGCAGAGAGCGAGGGAGGTGGAGAGAGAGAGAGAGAGAGCTAGGATTTAGCAGGAGCGGCAACGACAATTGGCATGAGAGCTTCAGGTTCGGGAGCTCGCCGGCGGCAATGGCGATCGTGCCACACGGCGGTGGCACGGGCTGATCGGTGTCGATGCCGATGCCGATGCTCACGCCGGACAACTACACGTCGTGGGCGATCAAAGCGCAGGCGATCCTTGACGCCCACACTCTATGGGAGGTGGTGGCTCCGGCCGACGCGGCGGTGAACGGGAAGAGTGCAAGACGGCGCGCCCGATGATCCTCGGCGGGCTGCCGGAGGATGTGCTGCTGCAGGTGGCAGCGAAGCTGACCGCCAGGGAGGTATGGGACTCCTTGAAGGTGAGATTCGTCGGCGCCGATCGGGTGCGCGCGACGAGGCGGGTGATGTTGCACGGGGAGGTTGATCGCCTGAAGATGGCGGACGCGAGGCACTGGATGCGTACGCTGGGAGGCTGGCGGGCTTGACGACGCGGTTCGCGAATCTCAGGGAGACCCTGTGCGATGCGGAGCTTGTGAAGAAACTCCTGGACACGGTGCCCGATCGGCTGTTCCCCGTCATCGCCGGCATTGAGCAATTCTGCAACCTCGACGAGAAGACATTAGAAAAGGCGCTCGGGCGGCTGCGCGCATTTGATGAGCGGGTTCGGCGCCGGGGACAAGACGGCGGCGAGCGTGGCGGCGATCAGCTGCTGCTGACCATGGGGCAGTGGCGAGTGCGGGAGCGGCAGTAGGGAGTAGCTCGCGACGACGACGACGGGCGGAGCACGACGTCGGGCAACGGCGGGAACCGACGCGGGTGCTGCTACAAGTACGGCGAGCGCGACCACTTCAAGCGCGACTGCCCGCAGCTGCGGAGGGAGCCGGCGGCAGAGCGCGCGATGATGGCGGAGTCAGCATCGAAGACGGCGGCCTCCTCTAGGTCGTGGCTTTGGGGAGAAGTGTTGGGCAATAAGCCACGGCGAGCTCGGGACGCGGCGTGCGTGTGCGTGCGCGCGATGGTCGCGTCGGGTTCGGCCATGACAGGGCTTGGCGCGTGCGTGACCGAGCGTAGGTGTGTGTGTGCACGTGATCTAGCGTGTGTGTGCACGGGGCCACGCGGGTTAGTCAGCGAGGGTCCAGGGGAGGCGACCGCGTCGGGCGCGCGAGGAGGCCGCGGCGATCGTGTGCGTGCAAGATGCGCGGGCACGAGCCGGAGCGCGCGGGGCATGGCGAGTGGGGGAGCGAGTGCGTGTGGGTGAGGCTTGGCATGTTAGTGCTCGCGGGTATAAATCCACCTCACCTATGTGGAGCTCGTTGACATGTCGAGTTCGTGCTCGAGGGAAAGAAAAGGGCGTTCGAGTGCGCCGGAAAAACTCATGTGTCCACTGCCTTGTCTGATCTTCTTCTTCCTCCTTCTGTCGTCTGAGCGCAGGGAGCGAGCGAGGTGTAGTGAGAGAGAGGTAGAGCTAAGGTTTAGCAGGAGCGGCAACGACAGGCGAGTCCAAGCTGCACACCCGTCTCTTGCCCCTCCTCGTCTATAATTCTAAATATACGTGTGTTTAATAACACACATGTTCTCAGACAGTATCGTATTATGCGTAGATATTATGCGTAGATTTTAAAGTATCCTTCCAGATTTTAACTCGTGAACCAGCAAAGAAAAGTTCAAGTTATGTAGAACTCAAAGAAAAGGCCAGTTTCTTCCAAGCAGATAAAGCTGCATATCTATCCTTTTAAGATCTGGATAAAAAGGTGTATGTTCAAAGTAGATAGGATGCTGAGCAGAGGATGGCCCTGTGATGAAGTCTGCTCCTTTTGCGACAAAACCATTGAAAGTGCTGCCTGCCTCACCCTATCTCCTTTTGCGAGCTCGAGTCTACCAACCTGGAGATGATGAGAATATAAGGTTAGGAATCAAACATCAAGAAATGATGGAAGTAAGTTGTGGTCATGGCCAATTCCAAAGATAGCAAGCACCTAGCCACAAATGCTATGTATGTTGCCTCGCACTTATGGAAGGAAAGAACCGTAGGATGTTTGAGGGAAAATATGCTAATGCCATGGTGGTATCCGAGTTGATGAACGAAGATATCTGCCTCCTGAACGACGTGACGATTTTTTTTGTCAGCTGCACAACAAACGCTTTGCTTATTGATTTAATATTTCTGTTTTTTCCTCCTGCTAGCTAAATGTGCAAATATAAACAGATATATATTGCTTATTTATTTAAAATTCTCAACAAAAATGTGCAAACCACAAACCGAACCACTTCACATGGGATTAATAGAGCGAGGGGCAGGGAGATTACCTGAACACTGTACTTGATAACGATGCCGACGAGCGTTCCCATCCTGTACGCGGCAAGCTTGTCCATCCTGTACGCCTCGTCTCGTGCTCGTGCATCGCTGCCTCTCCACCACGCTGCCCTCCAGTCTCGCCGCAAGCTCCTTCAACCTCGTCCGCATGCGGGAATGCGCGGCTGCTTCCTCCTCTGCCAGCTCCTCCGGCCTCGTGCCCATGAGGAAGACACATGTTGCTGCCTCCACTTCCAGAGGGCCGCCCTATTCCCATCTATCAGCTTCGTCGGCCTCATCCCCAAGTGGAAGACGCGACCTGTTGCCTCCTCCTTCCGCGCGTCGGCGTTCGCCATGGCCGGCATCTGAGGGTAGGGGAGGTCGGCCTGGAGGTCTCATCCTATGCACAAGGCGGCGGGCAGCCGGAGCTCGGTGGATCAGATATGGCGAGGGGCGATGGGAGGAGGAAGAGTCTGGAGAGGTCGAGACGGAGCTGAGTGAGGTAGTAGCAGACTAGCTAGGAGCTAGCTGGTTTTTTTTCCTGAGGTAAGTAGCAACGCTGGTTCAGTGTTCGTGAAGTCATTTCCTTTACTTTTCTACTATGGACGCTTCGGTGGATGATCGGCCGAGAGAGAAAGATACCAGAAAAGCGCTCAAACTAGAGCCTTTTTCGTTGAAGACAGACAATACTTAATTTTTGTTTTTTATATTATATCGTATTTCATCATCTTATTTAGCTTAAAATTAGCTATGTGTCGTTACAAGCTGAGTACATGCCATTTTCTATTACTCGACTTTGAACTTTACTTTGTTTGAGCTCGCTTGATTTTAAGTTTAAATTGAGCTAGACCAACTCGTTCGAGCTCGACTCGTTTGCGACCTGACTGGACAGGACTGAAAATTCACCCATTTTGATAATAACACACGTATAATTGTCCGTCTTTTCTTATGTGTATTTGGCAATATTTTACAATTTATTTCTATGTCTCACATTTTCTAGACATTCATAATGAACCCACTTAACCCTAAGACGTGGTTGTTGAGTCCGAGAACTCACCGACATACATACACTTTAAACAAATTGCATTTTCATTAAGTGCAGAATGTCAAAAAATTATGCTATCCTTTTAGTACACATTGAATTTGTCATGCACTGTGTTTGCATATGGGACGTCGAGAAAGTGCTACCTCCTTTTTAGGTCCTGCGCGTATCTCCGGGGTTGGTAATTTTACTACTGTAATATGAATTGTACATGAAAAACGTTGTACCTTTAAAAATAGAACATTTGAAGTTTCTAATGATATAATCTTTTTAAAATATAACTTGCATTATGTTGAAAAAAATATCATTGATCTAGGGATACGTGTGGGCCTAATAAATTGGAAAGGGGTAGTATTATAATAACAAGTATTCATAGCAATAAAATTATAAGTCACATGTAACGTCCACATGTTGAATTGTAGTTTATTTGATCGGCACTTTCTCTATATATAGTTTTGTCAGCCCGTGGCAACGCACGGGCATTCTACTAGTAGTTATAGTTTTTTAGTAGTGATCTCTATTCATGGAGATCACGAGGCCACCGATACCCTCTGTGGTACCGTGGTACGGTGGAATAGAAGAGTGGCATGTGGGCTTCTCTCAAAAGAGAAAAACTTTCACACCGCTGGCAAATTCCACCGTCTCTCTTGCTTGAATATCGTTCAATCCATAAACATGTGCGATCCCATCTCCAACTGAGACCACTCGATCGATTTCATCCACTTGAAAGTTCTTGTAAAACTTGGTCATTCTACTTTCTAATAGAGTTGTGAGTTCTGCATATCCGAGTATTATATCATGTTTGGAGCATGGAATCAAGCCATAGACAACGATCGGTCATCCAATCAACCAGATAGCTGTCAAAAGCACTGAAACAAAAAGCTACTCCCTCCGTTCCTAAATATTTGTTTTTCTAGACATTTCAAACAGAGTACAATATACGGATGTATGTAGACATATTTTAGAGTGTAGATACACTCATTTTGCTCCGTATGTAGTCACTTGTTGAAATCTCTAGAAAGACAAATATTTAGAAACGGAGGGAGTATATGTATATCTATTGTTACCTATGTTTATATTTGTCAAGCGTACAAAAAAATATTCATCATCATCACTTCTTTACATCTCCTATATATATGCACATTTATGGCATACTGGCAACAACACCAAGCACATAGCTTTTTCCCAGCTTGCAAATTTCCACGGGAGCTCATCTGGCTACACATGCATCAGATGATCCTTTTCCTCCTTAAACCACATCAATGGATCGACGAGCCATACTATATTATGGTTATGATTTCATTGAAGAGCGCGTGCAGTCCCAGCTTCACTCCACTTCTTGCCTCAGCAAGTAGCAAGATTTCTTGTGTGCGTCAACTTCTTTGCATTGCTGAAACCTCTCAGTAAGTAAACCTTATCGGCAGGAATACGTGTAAGATATCAACATTCCCAGCTATCTGTCGGAGGCGATGGCTTCTTCGATCCTCCTAATGACGATGCTGAGACCATGTCCGCTTTCAAGTGCTTTGACGGCAGCTCTATGTGCTTTCTTGTGCCACTTCAGGAGGTTGTAAGACTGCATCACTGACCAGCGAGCTCTATTTGCCATCTGGTGATAAGCAACGAAAGATACTCATGGACTGTTTTTGGTTTATTAAGACGAAGGTAAGAAGAGACATCAGAAGAAGAATATAGACCTGTGCGACAGAAAGCGGAGGATCGAGCAGAACACACAAACTCCTGAATAAATTCTCGTCATTTTCTCCTCCTTCTGCCTCCCCGTATACAAGTGCTTCTGCGGCGATGCCAGCAAACAGAATCATGCAGTATCTGCAATTACGATCTCGCTTCAGTACAGAAGAGACGATGTCCAAAAACTCCAAGTGTCGAAATCGAAACATAACACCTGGTTACATACCTGTCAAATGCTGTACTAGACAGATGGCCCTCACCAAGTTCTTTCTCCATTTTTGCGTCCCAGAACTGTGTTCCTGCCTGCAGAGGTGTGAGATTACACATCTTGAGATCTCTATGAAAAGCATATCTCAGATCCTTAAGGATTTTTTGACACATTGTGCCACAATCTGCACAAAGAAAAACAAGGAAGTCTAATCCTATATTCTTACTCTTACGAGCACTGGCGGAGCCACCTCCTGGCAACCCTGGGCAGCTGGCTGGGCTCGGCTGGCAAGCCTCCCTTAGAAACATTTTTTTTAGTCGAAACAGTGCTGTGTTTGAGGTTGAAGATGACTAATGTTTGGGCAAAAGTTCACTACCATAGCAATGCACATGAAATTATTCATGATGTAGCACACAGCGAGCAATCTGGTTCTATGTTTAAGCTAGATTATGAGAAGGCTTGATAGAGTAAATAGAGAATTTATTAATTCTATGATGCACCAGAGGGGCTTTGGTGCTAAATGGATGAATTTGATACAATCCTTGCTCTATAAAGGTCAATAGCAACTTCTTTGAAGCTGGTCAACCCTATCTCTCCTTTACTATTTAACCTAGTAACTGAGTGTTCACTAGAATGCTGATGAAATCTGCTAGGCATGGTTTAATATCTGGTTTGAAAAAAAAAACTGCCATGATCCTTAAGCGGATCCTCTCTTGCTTGGAACAAATATCCATCACAAGTGTGAACTTATGCCTATCAACATCGATGCTGATAAAGGCCAAACTTATGCCCAAACCTTATGTTGCAGATTAGGGGAATTTCCTATGAAGTATCTTGGAGTTCCCTTGCACTATAACAAACTTAGAAAGGAGGACTTGCAATCTGTCATTGATAGTGAGAAATTAGTTCTTATTCAATCCTGGTAAGCAAATATTCCTATTTACATGATGAGTATCATTAAATTCCCTATGAAGTATCTTGAAAATGGGCTATAGCTCTCATAAATTCTCAGATGGCATACTGCTTCTGGATATGAGCCATCATAAATATCATCCAACCCATTGGTATCTGTTGACACAGGAAAAAAAGAATTTGGAGCCCATTGGTATCTGTTGATACAGGAAAAAAACAATTTGGTGGTTTAGGGGTACAGATATGAGCATGTGTCTTCTAGACCTTGGGTTAAAAGATACTCCCTCCGTCCCATAATGTAAGACGTTTTTTCACACTACACTAGTGTCAAAAAACGTCTTACATTATGAGACGGAGGGAGTACCATTTAAATGACAACAAACTCTAGAAACAGATAATTGTTTTGCAAGTATAGAACTCAGGACCCAAACTTATTTGCCTGTCCTACCAATGATATCTCTCCCTTTTGGAGGAGGGTGTCTTATGGGCTGCAAAAGCTGGTATGATGGGATATCAGTGGAAGATTGGAAATGTCAAAAAGGTGAAGTTCTTGGAAGACCATTGGTTTGGCACCTCAAGTCTTGCTATTCAATTCTAGGAGTTGTATGGGCATAATATTTCCCTGACATCTAGGATTGGGTGCAATATAAAAGATACTTTTAGAAGATGTGTAGATCAGAATCGGCTCAACAAACAGTTTGATGTGATTCATATTGCTAATTCGCTTCAGATTAATGAGTATGATGATGCTATTATCTGGAAGTTTGAATCAAAAGGGATGTACTCTGCTAGTTAATTTTACACTATCATCAACTTTAAGGGAGTTATGCCTGTACATGTTCCTGCTGTTTGGAAGCTAAGCTGTCCCACCAAAAATCCACATTTTCCCAGGCTCCTAAATAGAGACAATTTAAATAAAAGACAGAATGTGCCTGATCTACCTTGGCCGGAACCTGCGAGAATGAAAGAAATCCCTCCTCGACTCCATCCAGGCCCTAGACCTCCGGGCCGACTCCACGGGCCTTACCTCGGAGGAGTGGCTACTCCGGTACGATCTTGAGGATCAGCTCATGGTCATATATACGGATGAGGAGGCCTACTGGCGTCTGCAGGGCACACAAAATTGGGTCCTCAAGGGGGACGCCAATACGGCATATTTTCAGGCCATTGCCAATGGCCGGCGGCGCCCGAACACCATCCCCTTGCTTTGGGACGGTGAGACCCTCCTGCGGCGACTGGAGGACATCCGGACCCATGTCGACGGCTTCTATAAGGCCCTATTCTCAGCCTCCCCTCGGGGAGGAGTTGCTCTGGCCCACGACATCTAGCCTGAGCACATGCGCGTTTCCGCGGCAGATAATGCAGCCCTCACGGCTCCGTTCTCGGAGGAGGAGGTCTGGGCTGCCATCAAGGGCATGAACCTGACGTCCACTCCGGGGCCAGATGGCCTCCCTGTGAAGTTCTTCCAGACTTTCTGGAATGTCATTAAGCAAGGGGTCATGGCCCTTCTTGAGGAGTTTTTTGTGGGCTCCATCGACCTAGCCCGCCTTAATTATGGGATTATCGCCCTCATCCACAAGGTGTCTGATGCCTTCGACATTCGCCAGTTCCGCCCGATCATGGTGATCAATGTGATCTTCCGAATCCTGGCAAAGGGGTACGCCAATAGGGTGACCCTCTTGCGGACCGCATCACCCACCCCGACCAGTCGGCCTTCATCCAGGGACGCTATATCCTGGATGGAGTCCTAGTCTTCCATGAGGCTCTCCATGAAGTTCGCTCCAAACACCTCAAGGCGGTCTTCCTGAAGCTGGACTTCCACAAGGGTTATGACATGGTCAGCTGGGCCTTCCTTCGGGAAGTTTTACTCCGGAAGGGTTTCAATTGTCGTTGGGTTACCAGGGTCATGCAGATGGTCTCCTCGGGCCAGACCGCCGTTAACATCAACGAGGAGATTGGACCCTACTTCCCCACCTTCTGTGGGGTGCGTTAGGGCGATCCTCTTTCCCCGTTCTTGTTTAACATGGTGGTCGATACGCTCGCCTCCATCCTCGACAAGGCTAAAGAGGCGGGCCACCTCCGCGGGATAGTCCCGCACCTGGTGGGAGGGAATGGCGTATCCCTCCTACAGTATGCGGATGACACCATCACCATGGTGGAAGGCTCCGAGAACGACATCACGAACCTGAAGTTCCTCCTCCTCTGCTTCCAACAAATGTCAGGGCTCAAGATTAACTTTGACAAGAGCAAGGTTATGGTGTTGGGCTACTCCCCCTCCAAGAGCCAAAGCATCGCTGACCGCCTTAATTGCAAGTTGGGTGCCTTCCCCACGACCTACCTGTGGATACCGCGGGATCAAGACGGGCTTGGGATCATGTCATCCAAACGCATGAACATTGCCCTGCTGACTCGCTGGCTGTGGCAGATTGCGAATGGGGAAGGGGGCCTTTATCTACGCATCATTCAGAATAAATACCTGCATGGCCAGTCGCTCGCCTTCTGTCAGTGGTCTGGTTGCTCTCAGTTCTGGCAATCTCTAATATAGTTGCTCCCGGTCCTCCGCATCGGGACCTCCATCTCGGTGGGGTCTGGAGCGTCCACCCTCTTCTGGTTCGACCGGTGGGCCGAGGACCGCCCTTTCGCGGCCCGTTTCCCGGATTTGTTCGCCATCGCGGTCGAACCTAGGATCTCCGTCGAGGTGGCCCTTATTGACTTAGGGCGCCTCGTGTTCCGGCGGCCTTTCGGGCCCCCGGACCTCCTCGCCTGGCAGGACCTTCTAGCATGCATCGCCCTACATGAGCCTAACGTGGAGCACGCGAACGACCGCTTCTAGGTAGCTTCAGGTAGCTTCTCCACTACATCCATGTACCAGGCCATCGCAACGACACCCAGACCTGAGCCTCTCGTGGTGATTTGGTCGATCCGTCTACCGCTGAAAATCCGGATCTTCCTGTGGCAATGGATCAGAGGTCGGGTCCCCTCCGGTGTGGAAGTGCTCAAGCGGAATGGCCCGGGAGATGGGATGTGTCCGCTCTATGGGACAGAAGAAGACTCGAAACACATCTTCTTCTGTTGCGTATCCGCACAATTCCTATGGAGTTGCCTCCGCGAAGCGGTGGGTGGTAGTTGGTGCCACAACAACTTCCCCAACCTCTTCGCCAAACTCCAAGCTTCACCGCCAGCTGTCCGCCACACTAGGTGGCTGACTATTGGGGTCCTTGCCTGGACACTGTGGACGGTCCGAAATAAGCTTGTGATCCAGCGTGTGCCTCTACGACGTGCTACTGACGTTGTGTTCAAAATGTGTGGTTATTTGCAGCTTTGGTGGCCGGTTAGCCGCCCCCGGGACCGAGATGCCATCACCACCATCATCGCTGATCTTCACGCGATGGCTCTCCGCTTGGCGCCGCCGCTTCCTCCTCCGCCACCAGAGCCGGATTAGATCCTCACATTCTGTGCCGCCACTTGTTTTTCATTTTTGGGCTTGTTGAGTTGTGCCCTCAGCAGAACCTGTTTGTACCTTGTGTTGTGCTACTTCGTGTGCGGGGTGTGGGTGCGTGTGTTTGCTGTGTGACCTTTGTTGGACCTTGTGGCTTCGGAGGTTTGCTTTATATATAAAGCAGGGCAAAAGCCTTTTTCGGTATCATGTGTACTCTGTTCTGAAGCTGAGGCATGCATGCTTGGAAAGTGATTTCTCATTTCACTGGACTTCCAGGCATTGCTAACTTACTTTGAGGCTGGAGCCTGTTTGTGGATAAGTAATACAACCATAAAGTAGCAAATGATGTTATGGGGGTTGTGGAAGCTTCATAATCATATTTGCTTTAATCAAGCACATATTTGTCCGGAATGCGGGTGAGTTGGTGGAAAATTGCTGCATTTCTTTCAGTGGCGGCTCCTGTGCTCGGAGGGTGCAAGAGAGCAGATAGACAGAGCGGTTCCATCCTGAGTCTCTGAAGATGGAGTTCCCATGGCCGCAGCATGCTAATTCTGAAGCCTGGGAAGGTACTATGGCCAGTCTTGTGCGCTGGGCCGCTGGCTGGAAGCCACCTCGCTGAAATTCGTGGAGAATGAGATGATGCTTCATGTCGTCCCCAACATCTGAGTGCGATCTGGGGTTCTGGTCGTGTGGATGTCTTTTGTTATCTCCTTGTAACACGGTTAATAGATGTACAAGACGTTCTCTGAACTTTTTATTTACCCGTTCTTGTTATCTCCTTGTAACGCTTTTGTTATTCCCCCGTGGACTGGTGATGTAAAACCTGAACCGATTTGGTTTCGTGGTCAATGGAACTGGGGCGGGGGCCTATTCTTTTAAAACTACCATAGCCACAGTTAGGCTTTGCCCAGGCTCCAAAGGCTGGCTAGCTCAGCCACTTCTTACAAGACATATTTCTTTAGTCTTGGCTACTACATACCAACTTGGTGAGGTTTATTAGCCTTCTAGATCAGCAAATACTTCTAAAACTGCATCTAAATCCAACTTGAAAACAAAATACTTGTGCATACTTTCTTAATAATGTATGCAGGAACATGGGCAGATTGAACTCAGTCACACCACTTGCTAGTGATGGCAGTAGAACATTTGTTACTTGTAACTTGTAAGTAAACTTAACTCAAAATTTTGAGAAGGCGGGATGATGTATTGAAACGACAGAAATTACACTACTTCATCAGATAATAAACATAAAAAAAACAACTAGCACAACATACATATAATAAAAGAAAAAAATAGTAAAGGTGGTACCTGGCCTTGAATGCCCATCCGCAGTGCCACAAAAGGATCCAGGATGACTCCTCGTATGGGGCAGCCCATTAGATAAGCTAGACACAGGTTCATGAAAGTAAGATGTGTTAGGGTAAAAACTAGTCTCAGAAGTCAGATGCTATACAAATAGCCATTGTTCCAAATATTGGCCACTTAATCGCTACTCGGTGGGTCACCGAATAGCCGATTAACTGGTTTATCGGCCAATTAACTGGCCAATTCGCCTATATTATCCCTTATCGTCACCTGACCGATATGGTACCAGTTACCGATATCCTGAACAATGCAAATAGCAGACTGCAAAACTAACAAATAAAAGCTACCATCCCAAAGTTGGATCGATACAGGACTTGAGACCATAAAACAGTGTAAGACATTGAAGGAAAGAAATACCAGTAAGAAGATGTCCGGCTTCATGTACAAGGACTCTGCGCTTGTATGGAGGCCAGAAACATGAGATTTGTGCAGCACAAGTACCACCAAGAAAAAGTGCATCTCCGGTTGCTAACGCCAATATCGCAGCCAAGTTAGGCCGTACATCCACTCCTTGGGTTAGTAGAAAAGATGCACCGCCAAAAAAAGTAGCCAGAACATAACGAGAATTTCCTGAGAGACCCCACTTCTTTGGTGCAAGCTTTGCAGCTGAGAAAAGTAAAACATGAAGAAGATAAGGGCTACATAAGAAGCTGAAGTCCTAAATTGGTGCATTATCCTATTTCACATATCCACTGGTAAGACAAGGAGTGTTGCAGTATGAGTTTGAAAAAGAATGCCACTTCAATGTTTGAATAAGGAAGAGCACAGATGAAAGAAAGGGAATATTGCCTCAATTTTCACCTTCCAGGCCTGTCATCTCCTTTAAAATTGTCGGCGTAACTTCTCTCGGTCCCTCCAGAACTGCAGCAAAAAGGGTATAAAATATCTCTTGACCTAAATGAAAACTATCAGTGCATTGCTGTAAATACAGAGCAAGCCAAGTGCAAAATTTCAGGGCGTTCCTTGACTGAATCAGTATAGTGAAACACTTTCAGATCAGTTCACAGCTTCGCATTCTACATAGCTTATACAAGCTAGAATGCTGGATTTTACCATGAATCCCGCAGACCTCATCGAACATTGCTAACAGCTAACAAACCGAATTCTACACCAAGTACAAATTTGAAGGCAGTTTGGCAACTGGGATACTAATTTTGGATAAAATGGCCCTCAAACCCATTCAATTATCACGCAAAAAATGGGACAATTAACGAGAGATCGGCGTTTACCTATGTTCTTGCACTTGCCGAAGTTGGCGAGGACCCCGCGGTCGGAGAGGAACTGGTACGCCCGGCCGACGAGCCGCATGTCATCTGCGTCGATGCAGGTGTCCAGCACCTCCCAGTCCCGCCCCGGCGACAGGGGGAGAGCCACCTGCGTAGCCGCATTCGTGGCCGCTTCCGGATAAGACGCGGGCTCCACGGACTGCAGGAAGCGGAGCGCGCGGGAGAGGTCCTTGCTCTCGACGGCGTCCTCGAACTCGCTCCACTCCCTGAGGGAGCCCGCGCGGAGGCGGGTCCCGGGGCGCGGCGGGCGGGACGGGAAGGGGAGGAAGCGCTTAGAGGAGGGGGGAGCCGGCTGGGAGGCGGAGAGGGCCGCGGTGGAGGTGAGCGGCGAGGAGCAAGAGGTGGTCGCCATTGGTGCGGTCACGGAGGTGGGTTGCTCTGCTTCGCTGTGACCGTCGTGGCGTCGCCCGCTGCCGGTCGTCAGGCCTGTCCGGTATGACTGATTTTTTTTAGTGGTAAGACAAAATTGTATTCATCAAACTCCACACAAAATGGGATACAAGTTGGGTCATGAGGTTGGCCAAATCAAACATGATCCCATGATCCAGTCTAAAAGCATACCGAATACTTCGCTAACTTATGTGCTTCATAATTCACAACACGACATTCGAAAGAAAAGTTAAAAAGTGAAAAAAGCTACTTGGGATTTAATTTCGTCGATAATAGTTTCATAGCTTTCCTTCAACCCTTAAGGCTACCGCATTCACCGCTAGTTGTGAGTCAGATGATATAGCGACATTTTGTAGATGCAGATCCGCTGCTAACGCAAGTGCCTCCCGATATGCGATCACCTCAAACGTGGTCAGATCATGTGAAACGTCAATCACCAATCCCGAGCTTCCATAATAATTCCCTCTGTTGTCTCTGCATACTGCTACAGCCGAGCCTTTTTTTCCTAGTTGGACTCCCACGATGACATGGATCTTACTGAACCCCGGGGGTGGAGCTCTTGGTCTTGATGGTGGTACACTGGTGGAACAAGCGCTGCTCGAATTGGAGTCCACCCTCCTTCCTTGATCATGTCAAGATCTTCGATATAATGATTGATGAAGCCTTGTACCGCATGCGGGCTATGAAAGATGCCCTCATGAATAGCTTTCCTTCTAGCTGCCCATATAGCCATAAAGTAACAGAAAGTTTTACAAGGAGGTCATGCGGCAATGTTTCCATGCGCGTGAACAGTCATTGCTTCGCATTCGGTTGGGTAGTGGATGATATCTTTTGTGCCAGCTCCTCATTAACTAATGCCGAGGTACACCTGGACATTGTGTAATCGACCAATGAATGCCTCCACGAATCCGGTGCTCCACAGATGCCGCACGCGCTCGAATTGGTCATGCGCTGGTGAGCCCTGACATCATTAGTGGGGATCGAATGTTTCGATAAACGCCAAAGGAACACTCTAACCTTGCCTGGAACCTGGACCTTCCACAAAGTTTTCCATGCCTTCTTCTCTTTGGTCGTTGAAAGTGCAACTAATCCCCAAACGGTTTTGGTAATTCATAACAACATATATATCATTGATCTAATGCTTATTGAAAATAGATTTCAGAAAAGATCAATGATTGGCATGGCAAGAGCATGAGATTGTGGACCCCTCAAAATGCTAAGGACATGGATTGGCAAAGCCTCAAGACTCTGCATTTTCTACATTTTTTGTTAAATGGTCCAAGATCGCATTGAGTCCATAGAAAAGTCAATACTATTAAAAGAGGATGCGGTTTTGATCATGACTCAATTACTCAAGTGCTTAGTGATATTGCTCCAAAAATCCTCAAACACCTTCTCCAAATCGCATATGTCCAAACCCTAAAATTTCATCTTGGTCCCACTAAAAAGATTTATGCCGGACCCACCAAGTTGATCCTACACACTGCCAAAGCCAAATCCTAAAATTTCGGTCTCACCGAGTTGTTGTGGCCAAGTTTCTATAAGCCAATTTGTTCATTTTGGAATCACCGAGTTGAACTGATCGGAACTATCGAAACAAAGTCCTGCCTAGGTTATCACATTTCGGTCTGTCTAAGATTTCCACTTCGGTCCCACCGAAAAGCCAAACATTCATATCTTTTACACAGGTCGGTCTCAACGAGATTTTGCTTCGGTGTCACCGAGCTGAGTCAAAAGTGTGTAACGGTTGGATTTTGGGTGAAGGCTGTAAATACCCCTCCACCCCCACCTACTATGGGAGGAAGCGCTTGGAGGAGGGGGAGGCCGACTGAGAAGTGAAGAGGGCCGCGGTGGAGGTGAGCGGCAAGGAGCAAGAGGTGGTTGCCATTGGTGTGGTCGCGGTGGTGGGTTGCTCTGCTTCGTTGTGACTGTCGTGGCGTCGCCCGCTGCCGGTTGTCAAGCATGTTAGGTATGATTGAATGTTTTTGTTTTTTGAACGGCCCACCGTATCCCCACTAGCAAACCTGGCCAAGTAGGCCGGCACGGCCTGACCCTCCACTAAACATGCCTGGCAGCACGATCCAGGGCGGTTTGTTCATAAATGGGTTGCCGTGATGGCACGTGTGCTGCACTATCAGGCCCAGATATGGCATAGATGTTAAACGTGCCGGCCGGCCGGTCTGTAATGGGCCGTTTGGTCCTAATAGGCCATTACGGCCCAATTACTTAAAAAAATCTGAAAATCTGAAAAAATGCATGAAACTCAAAACCTGAGGCAAAGTTTATGTGGAATAAATCTTGAGCTTTCTTAGTGGCTGCCTCATTAAAATTTTCCATCATTAGGAAGGAAAGGGAGTACAAAGCCATGCACTAGATTACAGAAGGATAAAAAATTACAAAGCGTACAACTGTTCTTCCTCTTCTTCAGTGGTAAGATTTTTGAACTTGGCTTTCTGTCTTGTTTGTAAATGCTGGAAGATAACCATATAAGCCAAAACTTAACTATGTCATTATAGATAAGTTCCAAGTAAAGTCATAGAAAACCAAGATTCATTTTCTAAAGGGAAGTGCAGACCAACATCTCACCAAAATCATGACTTCACGAGAAATGAACTAGTTTCAGAACAGAAGCCAAACAACTCAGGATCAGGCAATAGATATTTAAGCATGGACCTCAGTTAACAAATAGGATCTGAAATCACTTGGGTGAAGCTTTCATGAATTATTAGCCCAGCTCACCCAAAACCAAAAATAAATAAACAAAAAACCCTAATCCCCTCCGCGCCTCCCCCTCCCTATCCCCTCCCTCCGCCGCCGCCTGAGGTGCTCGCCGGCCCGGCCGCACGACACCAATGAAGGTGGCGGCGGGGATCTGGTGGCTTCGCCTTCGCGGAGGGCCACGGCGTCCGGGGCGGCGGCTCCGATGGGCGGTGTCCGGCGTGGCCGGTGCGGCGGGCTGCGCCGGTAGGTGCTGGCGGGCTGCCTCCCTGGCCGTGCGGTCGGCGGGGGGGTGGCGGGCGATGGAGAGGCGGCGCCCCCGCGTGGGTCGTCCTGCGCTCCTGGAGAAGCTCCGTTCCTGCCCGTGATCTGCTCCGATCTGCGCCCTGCTCCAGCCCCTGGTGGCTTCGTCGCCGTCTTGGGGGATCTGGACGGACGGATCTGGTGGTTGGGCGGCCTCACCAAAGGCGACGTCTTCGGCGCCGTGGTCCTTCCTGGAGGCTTTGGTGTGGTTCTCCCCTCCCACTTCTCCCTCGAGCACAGGTGAAGACCTGCCCTCCCCTTGCATGGTCGATGGCGGCATCCGGTGCCGTGATCCTTCTTGAAGGCGTCTTCCGGGGATTGCTCGTGTGGGGTGGAGCTGCTGGTGGCGTGGTGACGGTGTGAGGTAGCCTGTTCTTATCAGTGGCGGCTGCCGTGGTCTCGGTCCAATCCCTGACCACTGCTTTGGCTATGCCCCTTTTGGCCTTCTCCATGGATCTTCGCCTTCGTCCGATGACTTGCGGTTGTGAGCCGTTTCGCTTAGCACTAATGTACTTGCCGTGGTGGAGCGGTACTTCATCTCACTCATTGATGGCGGCGAGGATCGGCGGCATGGCGCTGTGGAGGTTCGCCGCCCGATGCGCGGAGATGGACTCGCGCAGGAGGAGGTTGCTGTCTGGCGTCATGGTGACGCCGATGGCTGAGTGGCCAGATAAGGTAGAAACCTCGATATGATCTGAAGATGGACCTGCGGAAGATGGTGGCGACGACACACGAGTGCGTCTGACCGGATTGTGCCCCAGACCCAGTATGTGGCTCGGCTGGGGATTCCGAATATGTTTCGGTTTCCGGCTTTTGATGTTAGGCTTAGGTGAGTGGTTCGGGTAGTGGCCTAGCTAGCACCCCTTCATCATTTTGGGTAGGAGTAGTGGCATGTGTTGCCAAGATGGTGGATTCAGACTTATTGTTGTAATACTTTGTAAGGTCCTCGAGAATAATCAATAATATGGCCGTATGCATCTCCCGGATGCAGAGGCCGGGGGTCATCCCTCTTTTCTAAAAAAAAAATAAAAAAAAAAATAAAGAGGCTACATGTGGTGCCCAACTATTAAGCCAAAATCATTCAATGAAAAGAAGTCATCCTTGTGAAATATCAGAAGCGTCTCACCTCCCATGGGAGGCCGCGTAGTGCTATATTGATTGATCGGGGCTTATCCCGTCTAACGCATACATTGTTCTGTTACAGCCGTGGTTGGCAAGGAGAGAATGAGGTAAGAAAAGCAACAGTGAAAAGTAAATAAGCTAGAGGTAGACGATGAGCGAATGCAAGCCATCCGATCTTCTTTTCCGTCATTGATCCCCAGCCGTTCATTATCTGAACCGGTACAGTTAACTGAAGACTAAAACACCTAGCAAGTTCAGTCACAATGCCCCGTTGTGAGCGCGATCTTGTCTTCAAGAAGCTGAAGGTTGACGGCGCCATGCTTTGACTGTCTTCTTGAAAAAGGCTGGGAATGTATGCTTCATGAAATCCACGTCTTCCCAAGTTGCGTCATCCAGAGGAAAATTCAGCTGGCTAATGTGGAACACTGGGTGGATACCCACGTTTGCAGCTGCAGGTGATATGCCACAGTGCCCACATGATACAGTACTCGAAATGGTCCGAAGAACTTCCTTTGCAGCTTGATGTGAGAGTGAAGGCCGAAAGCATATGGCTGAAGCTTCCAAGTAAATCATGTCAACTACTGCGCTTCATCGTTGACAGCAGTTGTCAGTGTTGACAGCAGTGCCTACCATCGAGAACTCACTGATTTGTCGCTGTGGATATCCATATATGTCAAGGACCTCGGTGCCCAAGACAGCAGGACCTCGACTACGTAGTTCGTAGTCTCGGTTGATAGGAGCGCTAGGGTTTTTGCCTAACTGCTCAATGGTGCGGGAGAAGAGATTAGGAGTGGAGGAGGAGGTAGGAGATAATGATTT